CATGTTTCGTATTTGTCCTTTTATTACTATTACTTAATTAACTATATGTTGCAAACTATTTTATTCAATAACGTCTGTGAATAATATAGTTTTCTTACTACCATTACATTATTCAAGAATTAACTAACTAAACTAACATTTTTTTAGTTTGCTATGGCGAGCAACCATTGTATTTCTTTTGCATGATGTTTCATGTTTCATATTGGTCCTTGTGTTGCTGTATACTACCTCCGTCCGTAATATAAGACATTATTTAATTTTTATTTTGATCATAAATATAAGACTTTAATGTATTTTGTTTTTCGTATTTATACATTTTTTTTCTAAGGTAATCCTTCTACTAATAGTAGTTTTAGCTAATATATTTGATTAGCAGGGATATTTTAAGAAAGATAACACCTATTTATTACAAATAACTAACCTAACTTATTTTCTTAATCTATTCAAATTAATCAACTATCTCTTATATTTAGGATAAGAGGTAGTATTAACTACATGTCTACATGTTGGCCTCTCACAAAGAGCAAATTATTTTATTCAATAATGTCTGTGAATAATATAGTTTGCTTACTATTATATTATTCAAGAATTGACTAAACTAAACTAACATTTTTATTAATTTTAGTTGACACATTAGTGGCATGGGCTCTTGTCTGTTTTAAGAGATAATAGTTACGAGTTCAATTTTTAATTTTTTAGATTAAACAAATCAAGTCAAAAGAGATTAATTATGAAAGAGATACTATCGGCAAAGAATCTCTTGGGTCACAAAAAGGGGGGGACAACGAAAGTCCTTATCTGAAATGCCCACAAGTAAATATAATATATAATATCTCAATGTACTGTTACTAAAATTTATCACTTTTAAAGAGGATTTTCATTAATAAGAGTATTTTTTTTGGTGAACAGAGTAATTTTAATGTAAATGGTTAAATGAGTATTTTAGGCAAACTAACACATTTTTTTTTACAAATAACTAACTTAACTTATTTTTAATATATGTGAATTAGTCATATATCTCTTACATTTAGAGTTAGATAGAGTAATTAAGAAACCAGCTTTCATAAACTATGTTATACATTTTTCTATGATGTATAGATTAATGCTAGTTTAATTTTCAAGGATTACTTCTAAACCTAATTAACATTGTACGAAGCAAGTAGAGTAAAAAGGAATGGGAAAAAAAAGAAGAAGACAAACAACTCAATGTTATGAATAGAAAATATCTTCTAGACATGTGAACGAAATAAACAATAAAACTAGTAATTATATTAAGCAATTGTATTGGTAACTAGAATATGCTAAAAACTGTAAATTTCTATCTGCACAAAATTCGTATCTGACTTTTCCCTCCGTCTTAAAACGGTTATATGCTGTTGTATGCTTTACTCATGAATAGAACGTTTACCAAATTTCTTTAGTACTATACTTACCTTTTTTGTTTTGCTTATTCTTCAGTATTTGCATGTGACTTGTGTTTTGGGACGTACCTTCATTGTCCTTATTAATTCCAAGGAAAAAAAACATATCCTTTTATGGTAAAAATATAAATATTTGTCGTTAGTGGAATTACCATTATGAATTGTAACAAGGTGCTTAAATATCCCTAAAATATTTATGAATGAGCAACTAGCACCTGAAATTTTTTTTTTTACTCTTATATGGCTGGAAAGTTTATTTTCATAGTAAAAATACTCTTATCATTATTCACTGTTAAGTTTGACCAATAAATTATACAATTTAACTGATATCTTTAGCGGTCAAATTTAACGGTAGATAATGGTTCAAGAAGATATGTTACGAAATAAAACTTTCGAGGTATATAGCCAAAAAAAAACTTCCAGATACCAGATGCTTCTTTGTAGATGCTTTTAGGGTATTTAAATATCTTATCCTTGTGAATTTGCTTTCTGACAAGAAACTGTTTCCATATACTTATTCAAGTCTCACCTTCATCAAATTTAATCAAGTCTACTATACATAATAGTGTATTTATATCTATTATTTAAGAGGAAATAACAGAAGAAATACATGTTGAATTTCAAAATGATAAATAGGTGAGTTTGATTATATTTTGACCTGCAAAAATCATTACAAAAATAGTCAAAACCGTTACAAGAATAGTCATGAGCTATTTATCTTTTTAAAATTTAAGGCTTTTTTTTTTGTCATTTTTCTATTTTCTAACCATCTTTTGATTTATCTCACAGTTGAAGATGTCATGACTGATAAATGAGAATTTACATGTTAAAAATATTTTTAACTTTTTTCCTTCTCTTTTTGGGAGTTTAAACCATAATTACTAGTGACAAATAGATGAGTTACGTGCAGTGATGAGGACCGCCAAAAATAGAACTTTATGTCGGAATATATATTTTCTTTCCTTATTGTGGCCTGATATGTCGACATCTTTTTAATTTACTTTGTTTTCTTTCCTGAGGTATATGTCTCCGACCAAATCCCATATATGTCGTACTGTGTCCTTAGCCATGGAAAATTCCATGAGGCTGAGATCTCAAACAAGAAAAATGATTACTAACAGCTGAAATTTATTTAAAATTTGTCATTATAAGATACTCAATTGTTATGGGTTTTTTGTGTGTGAATATATTCATTCTTTGAGACCTTATTACAATTCTGCCAAATTTCATTGGTGTGACTGTGTGAAGTGTATTTATATATTTTCTGTTGAAATGGAATTTAAAAAAAACAAAGAAAGGAAAGAGAAGACGCAATGAATAAATATTCATACTGCTTGGCATCATACCACTTCTTGAGGGTGTTTAGATGAATGAAAAATATTTTTTCGTAAATCGAGACAAATTTATTTATATTTTATTTTATATGCTGTAAAAATATTTTTAAAACCATAATTTTATTTTTATCCAAACACCTCCTTCATACACTGTAAAAGTACTTTTAAAATTATTATTTTGTTTACATCCAAAAACACCCCTTGGTCTTACACGGAGACAAGATCCATTCAAGTCTCTGAATATAGAGCTGAGACGATTCTAGAGCAATCAATATCTCTCTGACGTCGTTTTGAATGTTGCTTGTGCGTGCAGAATCGAGGGCAATCATCAGGTACTACGCAGCCAAGTACGGCGACCGTGGTCCCAACCTGCTAGGGCAAAGCTTGGAGGAGAGAGCCATGGTGGACCAGTGGCTTGAAGTGGAAGCTCACAACTTCAACGACCTGTGCTTCAACCTGGTTCTGCAACTAGTGATCCTGCCCAGAATGGGTCAGCCCGGAGACTTGGCCTTGGCTCACAGCTGCGAGCAGAAGCTGGAGAAGGTGATGGACGTGTACGAGAAGCGGCTGGGCGAGAGCGCCTACCTCGCCGGCGACACCTTCACGCTCGCCGATCTCAGCCACCTTCCGGGCATAAGGTATCTGATAGAGGAGGCCAAGATGGGCCATTTGATCAGAGAGAGGAAGAACGTGAATGCGTGGTGGGATCGTATTTCTGGCCGACCTGCCTGGAAGAAGCTCATGGATTTGGTTCGTTGATTCATGTATCCGCAGGCACATCGACATGATTGTGTCTCTATTGTGTGTGTCTGTGTCTGTGTGTCTCTATTGTGTGTACAACAGTGCAGGTTTATAGATGAGTTGGATAGAGAGAAAATGAGAGTATTTGGATGACAAAAAAGGTAATTAAAGAGGAACTTTTATAATTAATACAAAAATATATATAATTATTTTTCACATCTTCAAAGTGTGGCTTATGAAAAAGACCAGGCCGGACGTATTCAAAAAATTGTAACGAACTTGAAACATGGAGCGCGTGGGCTCGCGATACATTATAGCATTGTGCTTTTGGGCTCATATCATCAGATGTTTTCAGTTGTTATTTATTCAAAGAAGCTTTTGTTGGCCCTGGGAACATAAGAAGACCCAAATAAAAGTTTTCGTAACCTTTTTGTTCCCCAGCCAGCTTTCGTCTGCTCAAATTTAAATAAGATAGATATTATTAAGAGAAATGTAATCATTTTATTCCTGTAATTTTGCATCAATTATAATTCCTAAACGTTAATTTGCTATAACTCAATTTTCATAGTTTTTGTTGGCAAAAAAGAAAATCTCAGTTTTTATTTGGTTGGAACTCAATTTTTCAACTTTAGCTCAGTACGATTTTGGGTGGCCGGTCTTAGTACAATTTAGTACCTATAATTTAATCATATAAAATATTAGTTTCTAAGCTTAAAAAAAAACCTTTACCCCTCATAATTTTGTAGGGAAAATTAATTTGCATGTCTCTATAATTTCATCTGATTATTTATATAGTCTTTGTCGTTTCTTTGTTTTATTAATTTTTAACAAAGTATAGTTTCATTTGATTTTTAATAACGTGCCGAGAGTCTTGTTTTTTTAAATTTTTCTTAAATGGACTAATAAATTTTAAGAACAAAACCTATATATCCAATTCACTAGGTCCAGTCCTCCCAATTTTCCAATAAGCATGCATGAACCACCTGGATTCATGAACACCTCGCCTCTTCACGCCCTCCGTTGATATCACCATAGCCAAGATAAAACTACTGTCACATTAATTTGCTCACGGTATTTTTTTTAAGTACGTCTAGCACCTTAATATATTTTTGATACACCTAACACTTAAAAGGTAATTTTTTTTAAGTGTATTAAATACCCTAAAATATTTTTTTTGGGAACCAAGACAAAAAAAAATTATTTCAAGTTTTGGATACACTACAAGATACTTTAAGATACTAGATGCATTTAAAAGGATACTTTGAAATACTGAATGCACGGTAAGATCCAACCACTATGAACCATCCTATTTACCTCCAATGAAGCCAAAAGGGCGAGAAAGGCCATAGAAAAACCTTACAAACTACTATTATTAGCTACAAAATGAGGATAATGAATTACAAGCTGTTGATACAATATCATATACAGATTATGCATCTTTTTTCCCCTGCAGATTCTATTCTCAGTCCAGTTTTGTACAGAACTGTGTGAAAGAGTAGGACCTCTATGTCTTTCTTGAAGGAGACAACTTTCTTGAAGAAGGAGGCATCATAGATCTCGCATAGGCAATGGGAAGAAAAAGTAATTTCTTGGCCTTGCTTACATATGCTCTCTTTGAGAAATTGTCATAATCATTAGCTTCAATCTCGTCTAATATCTGGCGATACAACAACAAGGACGCCCATACCTGCAACACCCCAGTAATACTCATTTTGCGTTCACAACTTGAAATGCTAATCAAGGTAATATAACCAACATCCTCATTCATATCCACCAAATAAGCATTTTGAGTTGAACACATTCTAAAGCTAAATAAATGTAACAGCGAATGTTAACTGTGTATGGATTCAGCACATTGAGATGGCTAGATGCAAATGTAAAGTTAGTGAATCGGATCCAATACCATCATGCGCACGTGTGGAGTGCAGGAGGTACAAAAGTTTGTGATTGTGAACCTACCCTAAAAACTAGCTGTTGAGGTGAGAGAATCAACATACTTAAATACCTAAGCATTCTATACTACTCAATGTAGGGCTTGATAACACATACCGGCAAGTCTTAATCAGACTGTGAATTTGGTGAGCCTACTAGATCATGTTTAAAAGGTATTGAGACTCTTTCATTAGAACCAACTCTTATTGGTAAATTTGAACACCCTTTCTACTAAATTTTAGTTTTGACGTGTTCCTTGTGTCTATTTATGATTCAGTTTCTGTAATATTGAAATTTGCCTGTGTTACGGGGGGCTAGAGGTTGTTGACACGGCCCCACACATGTCAAGGGGAAAACCTAACAAAACTACTAACAGCCAACAAGCTCTTAAGAGGAAAAGTGAAGGCTTGAAAAGTTGTTCAACCCCACTGAATTGAACTATACATATGACAAGTCATGGTTGGGATAATGACAAATCTGAAAAAAATTAAGTTAACCAAAATTGCCACACTCATTGATTTGTATATTGACACAAAAATACAGGTAAGGAAAGCTACTTGCACCACTTAAAAAGTGGCTTTATCTGAATTTAGGTCAGGCTAGATGAGAACTTCTGGTTGCGTAAAAGAACTTTTTACAAGCACAGCCAATAACTTTACTTGATACTGACAATAAAGTTTCGCCTATATCTTACATTACAATTAAAAATAAACAGAAAAGACAGTCGGTCAACGCTGAACAATGATTGACCCAACACAGCCAATGTGCACATGCTGGCATTTTGTCCTTATAACAAACAAGTCAAATATCTTATTCTTTCTTTCTTTTCATTTTTTGAGGTAAATTATATTTTGTGCTCGTCACAATCAAGGCACAGATATGAGATATTCCATAATGATAAAAGCTTTGGACGTCTTACCGGCCATCTGCTGGCTTCATTAAGCTCTGTGACTCCCTTCTCAGCCTCATCAAAAAACATCCTTGCCCTTTTAATTTGGCTCTTCATGAAGTTTCTCCATTTGTCAGTCACCTTCCCTGCAAATATGTCATCATCTGATAGCCCTGCCTGAGCCAACTCATCCTGCGGTAGATATACTCTCCCTCTCTTGGCACTGCCAAAGAACTTTTTTATGAGAAGGGGAAGACTAACAAGAAGCGCAGGAAATTCTAGAAAATTATTTTGGAAAAGCGAAGTATGATCTATTGAAGACATAGAACCCCAAATATCAGTCCCTTTTCTTCCCTTCATTTTTTCCCTATGTTTTCTCTTCTCTTACCAATCAGGCGAGGCATAAACAAAGAATTAAAGAACCTCAACAAATCATACGGAACCTAATGGAAGTTTATGGAGCAAAGAACATATAAAATCTCACTTGTATAGTGACATATCACATAGAGAGTTTAGATCATTTGACAGAAACTAGGTGTCTTAAAACATAATTAGTTCACAAAACTTGCACGCTATATCAAAAAAGATTGCCTATTTACATCTTATTCTATTGCAAGAATTCACAACCTGTCTTGTAGGACTTGCTAAGGACATATGTAAATCATTATTATCTGGAATCATGTTTATCTATAATTATGTCACTTTGGCGCAGAGGCAATACCACAAAAGGTCTAATAGAACACTTTGTGGTCAAGAGAAAGATTTACACAACAATGCTTATACGAACTTATAAAAGAAATAAACATACAGACACTTTCAACTTACTCCTCTCCAACATCTCTGAGTATGTTAGTTAGCTGGTTTGCAATTCCTAGGGCCAAGGCAGCATTATATACACTCTCTGTTGTAGCTTGTGACTCTGGTGAAATTCCCATGACTGGAACACTCATTAAACCAACTGTCCCGGCAACATAATAACAGTAAAGATAAAGTTCATCGAAATTTTTGTATCTGGACTTCCTAAGGTCCATTCTCATTCCTTCGATCATATCTTTAAACGGCTGCATAAACAAGAACAAAAGATATTGAGATATGGATTCTCTCATAAATTTTTTGGCAAATTGAATTTGCTCACATTAAAAGTGCACAAAATGGGACCTAAATTTTGATAATCATGAATTGAACTTAAGATTCGAATAGGTCAGTTTTTTCAGGGTAATAGAAGTGTGGAATTTCATGGCAGCCAGGAAAATTAAAAGGAAATGTAATGTGTTACTGATTGCAGATTTGCCTTCTGCAAACCACAGTAACATGTAAATCCAAGCAATGTCAGAGAAATCTATTGAAGATACTGATGATTTTCTTCTATTTTAGAAATCTAAGATTGTTCAATGAAGAGAAATTTTTTAATTGAAGAGAACAGTATCATACGATTGTCGTGTATGACAAGAAAGCCATTAAGATGATACAGTTAAAAGATCTTTATTTTAATCCTTGTTACGCTTAAATACAAAAAAGCAAGATGATAGACCTCATAAATATATAATTCCAACTAGGATCTCACTTAGTCTTCATCCAACTTCTGAAACTGATCCCTACCTGAATATCAACAGGAAATTTGGCAACTGTATCTGCTAGAGCAGCATCAAGCATATCAAATGGACGACCTTGGAAAAGATCATCCAACCTTGACTCCCACCTATCTAAAGCAGTTGGCGTTATATGTGAAGCATTAGGGCCATCAACAAGTTCATCTGTTCTCCTACACCACACTGTAAATACAAGGAACCACATAAGAGACCGCCAAGCTGATCATTTTTGATACAGGATAAGCCTTGTATGAGTAACTGACAAATAGGGCAAGATAAAGCAAAAAGCTCCTTCACTTATGAAGTAATGGCAACAAGCCTGACCACTTGATTAACTCACCCTTCCCACTTTTAAAGGAAAATGGCAAAAATACATCGCTCTATTAATGTTGAGGGATCAATTTTATTCATCATGTACAAAAAGCACATCCACTGTCATTCAGACAGAGAACTTTTAATAGCGAATATATATTGCTAATAAAGTTGAGAAAGATGCTTGATCCAAATATATTTATATGGATTTCAGGGACCAGTAAGGTCTCAATTCCTTGTCAAAATGAAATGGATTGAGAAGAATGAGAATAATTCAACTGTTGGTCAATATTACTCACCATATATAGCCCAAATAGCCCTTCGCCTTTCAGGGGTCATTAACTGAGTTCCTGGAAGGCCAAAACAACCAATTTCAATCGGATTCAAACCATGATCCAAACCCGAATTAAACTACAAGTAAAATTCCTCACTTGAAGGAAAGATAAGAGAAAGCTAACCCAAGTAAAACGTTTTGGCATATTCTGCACAAACTTCTCCACAACGATCATAAGCTTCGCTCAACAAACCCAAATTCCCCGGCAGAGGAATATCTGGTTTCACATCAAGGTCCCCAACAGATCCTAGCTTCCTCTTAACCAGGGAAGCCTGCTTAAGCACCACCTCATAGACCTTCTGCTCTGATGAAACAGCCATTTCTCCCGCTGGGTTTGCTAGCACGTTTGATAGCAAAGGTAAATTGCTAGCACTCTCTAGGCCAGTATGGCCAACGCATGAATACTTCAAATTTGTACTCAAAGAGCAAAGTCTCCGCCTCCTCTTCCTATCCTTCTTTGCTCTGATCGAACTTGAACAACGCGGGATAAACTTGGAAGAATCAAACAGCTTCCCGTCTCGAAATGAATCAAGGAATCCAGAGCAATTGGAGACCTCTAAGCTAGGGGAGACAACCCATAGTGATGTCACAGGCATGACTGTACACTATATTATAGCTACCCGATCGATAAATAAAACTCTTCCTTCGTTACCCTCTACTTTTAAACGAGTGAACAGCCAATCAAAAGAAGCAACAAGCCGTATTCAATAGAAATCTTGGGAACTACTGTAACCGCAACTGAAAAAGATGCACCACGAATGCTTATCTGTAGTTGAACCAAAAACCAGGATGAAAATTCAGTATAAAAAGAACTTCAGCTAGAATAAACAAGAACAACCATTCCATTAACTACAGCAACAACTCACATAATGGGATCCAAATCATGAAGAAATCGCAGTCATCAGTCAGAGCAAGAAAGGATAAAACAACTGCTTATCAGCATCATTATTTTATTTTTATTGTTACGGGTTTCTCGTGTTCATACTTCAGCACTAGAGCTGAATATTAAATTCAGAAGTTCGTTACACTCATCCAATGAAATCCAAAAAGCCACACGGAAATCCAACCACTCAGAAAAATATGAAATTTCATGAGAAGAAACGGGAAAAAAACAAATGCACACCTGTTGGGTATTGCGCTTCTTAGAACCACTCACAGGAGCTTTCCATTAATTAAACAAAACTAAGTAGGGAGACATCAACATCATGGAGAGCAAACTAACAACGGCCACTAAGCATTCTAGGCTTCACAATCTGACCCACCAAATACTCTCCACTCTTGCCAAACCTTCTTCCCCCCCCCCCAAAAAACCATTTTTAGTGTTCCTTTCTTTTCTTGCTCCCCTTTTCTTCTTGTTCTTCTTCCTCCTCCTTTTTTCCCCCCTCTTATTTTCTATATTGAAAATGAAAATGTCCCTTTTCTGTCCCGAACTGTCTGTAATATTCTCTTTGTACTGTGGTGTCTTTTCTCTCCACTTCCTCTTCCCTGTGGGATTTGAGGCCTTCGTCTTCCCTCAGTCGTCTGGTTCTGGGTTTTACACGCCTATTAGAAGGCTAGCTAGAGTTTGGAGCTAGTGCGTGTACCATGACCCTCCACGTCCTCTGCCTTAGCCCCGACCCGACCCGCGTATTGTGAATGGATCGGTTAGCTTGAGCATGGAGCTCGACCCGAATCATTCTAAGGAATTTGAATATCTGTCGTTTTTCTTGCTATTTTTCTTAAACAAATTGCCACGAGGATATTAATGGGCAAGTCAAATAATATATTTTTTGGGTAAACGAGAACAAGTAATAATTTAGCAGCATATAAGGAAACGTGATAAATAATCTCCATAAATCAATTAGAAGCCGATTTGTGCAAATAATAGCAAAAAAGATCCATTCTTTTAATGAATTACTTTCATTTAAAACATTTTTAAAAATAGGTTAAAGTATACTTTTAGTCTTTTAACTTTACACAAAATTTTATTATGGTCCTTTAACTTTAAAAAGTAAACTTTTAGTCTTCTTAATCCTAAAACTGTTAACAAAAAATGATGATATTAAACTCTTGATAAAACATTATTAAATGCTGACATATTACGTTTAATATTCAAAACAACTATAATTGTTATAAAAAAATTATTATTTAAGACTAATAATTTTAGAACTAAAAGACTAAAAGTATACTTTTAAAAATTAGGGGATCAAAATGAAATCCTGTGTGAAGCTAAAAGACTAAAAATATACTTTAACTTTAAAAATAACTCAATGCATGGCGTTAAAAAAATCATAACATTTATAACAATTTTGAAAATTTATGCACTATATTATTCTAAAATTTTCTTTATGGGCGGATGGTTTCTGGAAAATAGTTTCCGGTTGAGGACGCACGATAAATCTTTTTCATTTATAATAGAAAGGATTGAAGTTTAAATTTTTTTTTTAAAAAAGAAAATTAGATCAAGTTGCTTAGTTGCGTACGTTGATCTTACTCCGACACGAGAAAACAAATCGACCCGATCCGAAATTGGCGGCAGGTTGTAAGAAAAGGGAAATCCAACAAGGACAACCACGTGGCCGAAATCATCCAATCAACGAAAGATAACGTTATCAAAAAACCTCAATCCCCAAAAGAGAAGAAAAAGAGCAAGCGGAGAAAGTAACTTTAATTTAAGCCGGTTCGTGGGTCCAGACACGTGGCACGCCATGTGTGGTCCATCAAGGTGATACTCCGATGCTCATGGGCCGCCGATTGGGCTGGTCGTGGGACCCACCGGAGAAATGCTGGGGGGGTTGGGGGCAGAGCGAAATGCAGGAACAGAGGATTTTGGCTGTGGTGGGCGGTGGGTCCCCACGGACCCTTTGTCGGTTTGTATGGTAACCCGGCAAGTGCGAAATGACCCACACGTTCCTCTTCGCCGGTTAGTTGGGCCGGATAACTTGCCACGTAGCCATGTGCACTTTGTGTGGACCTGGTTCCGTGAGATTATTTAATTTAATTTACTTCCTCCTATCTTTAATATAAGATTTATTTTATAATATAATTTTATATTATAAAATAAATCTTACATTTAAGATCGAAGGAGTATCATATTTCATTTAAATACTATGGTTAGAGGCAAATTACACTTTTAGAATTTGTTTTCCATCAGGATCAAATTCGTCTAGAATTAGGCTGTTTAATCCGAACTTTTGATTAATAATATCAAAATATCATTAACTTTGTATAAAATCTAATAATAATACAAATATTTGGAAGGTTGGCCACGAGAAAATGAGAAAAATATTTGTAATAGTTATTTATAATTCTCCCATTTTTTTACGTTGGCCAAAAAATTATTTTTTTACTAAGTAACCCTACTCAGCACCTTTTTTTTTTTAATTTTAATGAATGAATAAAAGTCGTTACTCGAATTAAGTGGGAGAAACATTTCAAAAAAATATATATCATAAATTTTTTATTTTTTTGATTTTTAATTGCAATAAATCAACCCAGGCTTCTTCTTCTTTTTTTTTAAGTCCATGTGAATTAGGTAAAAAGTTCACGTATTTAAGATAAAAGGAAGTATTTGGCAAGATTTAAGGAACGCAGTTAATTTAGTTAGTGGTATTAAATTTGTGACCCATTTAATTAGGACTGGTTTGGAAATAACAAAAAAAAAAATATACTTTTCCAAATTTGCCTCTCATTTATAGCTAAAAGGGCTTTCATGCATTTAAAAATACTTATTGCTGAGAGTTTTGAGATTAAGAAAGTGTATGTAACATGAAATAAATTTTTCTTCCATCTTAAAAGGATTAAGGCCCAATTTTGCCTTAAAAGTTTTATTGTAAAAACTGCGAGTACCCAAAAAATTTTTGCAGCTTCAATGTCATCTCCAAAGTGTAAAAGCAAGAGTTGGTACCGATTAAGTGAGGTTTCGAGTTCGAGTGTCAGCATATGCAAAAATTTCTATTGGGAGACTCACCTACCATAGCTAGGTGAACGACGTGGGTCGAATCCAGATGTAATAGGAGTAAAGTTTCGGTAAATTGGGTGGACAAAAAAAAAAAAAGAAGTAAAAGTAATGGCACCCCATACTAAAAAATAGCCAAATGAATGTTTGTTTTGTCGAATCTCATGCCGTGTATGGTTTTACATGGGCATGACTATGCTTTTTTTCCCCCTATTATTTTCACCCTAAAATTTTTCATAAAAAGAAGAATATTGCCGTGAAAGTATTGAAAAAAAGGAGTAATGTGCCCAAATTGAAATAGCGAAATGAAAAAAGAACCCCCAAAAAAAAAAACATGAACATGAAAAAGGCGCAGAGTAAAAGTACAGAGTGGAGATCATCAATGCCTCATCCTGCCCTTAATATTGCCTAATCCCTTTTCCTCTCAGCATGACTACAGATAAGATGAATTTGTCAATGTCAAACATAAATCTCTAACTCTTACACAAAACAAGTTTGAAATTATAAATTTTTACATAAGAAATTTCAACAAAAATGTATTGTTATTTATAAATCTAGTATTGTCAACACCTGTTAAAGTGTTGTTACCCAACCTAATTTAATACTTCTCCGGTCTTTAATATAAGACCTAATTGTTGAATTGATTTTGATATTAAATATAAGACCTATTTATCACATTTATCAATTTTTTCTAAATTATCCTTACTGATATTCTATCAACCATAATCAACTAAGACATAAAGAGAAGATATTAAGAAAAATGATTATAGTATTTTTTGAGAAAAACATGTCATGTTTTTTATAATTAACTAACTTATCTAACTTTCTTGATCTAATCAAATTAGTTAAATAGGTTTTATATTAAGAACTGAAGGAATATTTAGTAATTTTAAGCTTCCTTTTTATGAGATTCTCCCTACAATTTAATATGGCTCCTAGAAAAAAAATTGGAAAAATTACACTCAGGTCCCACATAAGACAATTAATTCACAAAAAGTCCCTCAAAATTCCAAAATAACTCCCAAGTCCACAGGGACCTGTGTATAATAAATTGTAATTGTGAAATTACCTATTTGCCCTGTTCATTTACAACCTCAACAGTGGCTGTTGATAACTCAAGGAGAAGTGGTTAACAACCTCGGCAGTGCCTCTGGTATCCCACAGAGTGAGTTGTCAAGGGCACTGCCGAGGTTGTTAACCACTTCTCCTCGGGTTGTTAACAGTCACTGTTGAGGTTGTAAATAAATTACTACAATAAAATTAATGGGGTAAATAGGTAATTTTCTAATTTTAATTTATTACACACAGGTCCCTAGAGACTTAGGAATCATTTTGAAATTTTTAGAGACTTTTTATGAATTAATTGTCTTGTGTGGGACCTGTGTGTAATTTGCCCAAAAATTTTTGGAAAAAATGAATTAAAAGAAAGTACAGTCATGTCCCACCGAGCCAATTTCAGTGCTCATCGTAATGATGACTACTATAATGCTCATTAAATCTCAACCATTTAACTTTAATGTGAACGGCGAGATTTATAATTTAATATTTTTGCTTTTACAAATGTTTTCCTTTTAATAGGCATATAATAAAAAATAAATGTAATTTCTTAACTGTAATTTTAAAAAATAACTTTTTATTTAAAAATTATTAGTTAAAAATTTTAAATCTAAACTATCAAAACTTATTTTAAATGCTTTAGATCCCATCGCAACGGCTGCGATCAACATTAAAACTGGTTCTCATACCTCACGTGAAATCATATATGGCATAACGGTTGTTTCGCTATGGTTAGAGAACGAAAACGCTGCTCCATTTTTAACATTTTCGGAGAAATATTAACTCCAAAAAAATTTTATGATGTCCGTAGCTCCGATTTAAAAGCTTTCAAAACAAAACTGAATTTAATCCTTCTTAAAGTATAAACATAATAAAACAGACCATATTCAGGGAGTATAAATGGTTGTACGTAATTGGGGAAAAAAAATAAAAGCGTAAAGCAAAGTGAATGCAACGCGATTTCATATGAATATTTTTAATAATTTTGATAATGTTGAATATTTAATGTAGATTCACCTCAATATTCAATAATTACTTTTCGGAGAACACCTTTTTAAAAAAAAAAAAAAAGAA